TTTCCCGCCAATTTTTACCTGACGAACAGCTGATACTCCAATCGGTTGTCAAGCGAATAAAGTTCAATAAAGCGAAAGAGAAAAAGAGATGGCGAAATAAGAGAAAGAGATATGGTGCGTTCGGGAAGGACGCGCTATTAACACTATTTCTGTCATTCTATCTTCATTTTAGTTTTGTTTGCTAGATTTGCTAGAAGTAAAACAAGGATAGAATGATATATAAGGTGTCCCATAATTATTAATACAACGCTTGTGGGCAGGCAAATCTTTGACACTCTAAAGATAAAAGCATTTATTACTATTATACTTCTCTAAAAACATAGACAAACAGGAATAGAAAAAAAATAACAAAAAAAAATAAAAAATAAAATTTAAAGAGAAAAAGAAAAGAGGAAGAAAAAAAGATTTGTTCGCGTCGCATGTTCCAACATCTAATAAAATTTGTATCAGTCCATACATTGGAGAATGCAGATTGCGAATTGAATATTAAAATCTGAATCAATTAGAATAAAACGAATTAAAATTAGAATTATTTTACTGATCGAATTCTAATTTTCAATTCTTAATCTTCAATCTTTTTCTGCGTAGTCTGATGTGAATTTGATTTTAATAGCCTGATTATACCTACTTATTTTATTTTAAATATGAAAAGTGCAATATAATGCAACTATAAACAAATATAGAAAGGGAATAGAAGAGAGGGAGAGAGGAGGAGGAGGGTATCTTGCACGAAATATATAAAACGTTCATTTTTTCATCGAATTTATTTAAATAAGATCTCGAACCACGTCAGAGACTCACATAAAATTACTATATACATATACATATATATATATATATTTATATATATGTATATATATGTGTATACATGTTTATATATAAGTTATTTAAGCGTTATATTATTATTTTGCTCTGACAACAAATATACATATGCAAAGATTCTAATGTAGATAACGTTTTTTCCAGGTGTCTTAGAGATTTCCTACGTATTGACAACAGCATTTCTCTCTCTCTCTCTCTCTCTCTCTCTCTTTCTCAACTTTTATCGCATATTTAAATAAAATAATTTAATAAAACAAACTAAATTAATTAGCAGCCAACGAAACTAATGATGTCCGGTATTCTCTTGATTAATTGTCAGATCTTCAAATCAGACTTCCTCATCATTAATGGATGTATACTCAGTTAATGATTCTTTTTTCTTCAAAGCAGCATTAACCCATTAAATTTCAAGTGAAGTAATGCAGCTTATACACTTTTCTGCTCTAAAATCTTGTAACTCAAGTCTTAATCCAAATTTTGAAATAGTAACTAATATTTAGAAATAAAAAAAATTGTTCTTTCCAAAAATCTAGTTTACAATAAACTGTAAGATCCGGAAAAAAGATACAAAGATTAAAAAAAAAGCGAGACAAAAAAGCGATCTCCCTTTTTTACCGACAAATATTTAATAAATGATTTCATATATCCTTTTAATAGAATAAATCGACACAATTATTAGAGATACTCCGAATATCCGGAAAATATCCGGTATTCCATATTATCCGGTATTTTTTTACTATCCGGTCGGATAGCTGAATATCATTAGTATCTGATAATATAATATATATTCGGCTACAATTTTATATTGAAAGTTTGTGTCATTAATGCAGCATTTTATTCTCTTTTCAACTAAACTTCTTGCACAATTCATCTTTCTTCTTTTTCTTTTCACATTAGAAAGATAAAGAAAATTATTGTCGCTATTTTTTCCCTTGCTTTTCTTTTTTTTTTAGAAGCCTTATTCTAGATATCCGCCCGGATATCCGAAAGAATGTGATATCAGGCATCCGATATTCGATAATTTTACGATCCGATGTATCCCTAATAATTATTATAGATTACTCAAATAATATTTGTATTGATCAGGGCTCGGTCTTATTTCAAATATATATTTTAAATAAGTTTTTGGAACTAATTTTATATATATATATAT